GCAGATGCAATGTCGTTCCGTATACTAGTTCGGAGGCGGAACATTGGACATCTGACGTTGCTGCCCCGTAATCGCCATGTCGTCTCCAACAAATGCCATCTTTCTGCGAACCAAGTGGAGAGAGGAGTCTTAAGGACTGTGAGAAAGACGAAGTAGTATATATAGGAAGTAAACTGTCAAACGCTTAGCGAAAACTAAGTTGTCCAGTGCCAGTCGGCGAGGTTTTGCCGTAACTGGGGGTCTGTGGGTGACGATGTGGCTTACCACATAATTAATCGCCAGTTGAATCTCCTCGGTTTCGTTACTTTTGGGGAATTTATCGAATATAACATGAAATCGATGGTAATGCGAAAAAAATTCCGTACATATCTGTATGCGCGTTAAAAACCATGGATTTGATATTGAACGAAGTATCGATTAACGCAGCCTACGTGAATCGAATAGCGATTCATAGAGCTGTCAGGAATCGATACCAAGTACGGCTATGGGGACATTAGCAGGGATGAACGCCCATAGATACTGTGGTCGATTATTGAGGTTGGTAGTTAGCTGTCGTGTACCGTAGGTAGGAATGACAGAGCGCGTGGTCGAAGCATCGTAGCTTATGACTTACTGCTACCAAATGATACGACAGAAGCTTGGGAACTTATGGCCACCAAGTACCTAGCGTTAGTGCAAAAATCGAGCACATAAAATAAACTAACAACCTGAAGTGACGTGGAGGAGACAGGTGAAAATGCAATGACCTGCACCTCGGAGTCTATTATTATAACTATCTATCATTTCGAAACGTTGTTGCAAGTATAATATATATATTAAGACATTAGTAATAGTATTGCAACATTATAAAAATTGTGGTAGATGAATAATAGACTCACTGTAACTGACTTCTTTCGAAGAAACTTCTGGCTCACCAATTGTGGTGAGCGAGTCAAGAAACCAGATTGACTATGCTCACCACTAACGGTTCCATAATATCCTGCCGTTATTCATAGCAAAACAAAATAAATCCATGGTTGAGTTGTTTATTGAAGGAGAACGTTGGCATTACGTGGGGAACAGCAAATAGAGAAAGATGGCAGCAACGCGAAGAGAACGTTGAGCGTAAGAACTCGTAGAAGTGTTTTCGGCACAGTTAAACAAAACGAGTAAAATAATATTTATTTTTCGCAGATCGTATTTTCTTCGTAGAAGCGTTCCACTACAACCTAATGCCATGAGACTAATGTTCTTGCTCAAAGCATTGAATGTACAAATTTGTACATGACTGGCAACTGACTAGTATCATTGCAGTTCAGTGACAATTCTACTATCCTTCGGATGTTAGTAAATACCTGAAACCGTACTAAAACAACAAGAAGCGAGTGTGTAGTAATAAGTGACTTTTTCTAGCAAGTAAAAACTATATTGGATATTGAAATATTAAAAGGCGGTCGCATGGGCTTTACCTTGACGCCGGGTGCTCATATTTCTAACTGTTAGTGCTCTTCGTGTTACCCGCTATAAAATTCACTCTCCTGATACTCTTAATCACAAACCTGTGTGATCACTGTTTTTATTCTTTTTAATAAATGTAAGTGAGTTTTGTACGCTTGCTGGATTGTCGGCCCACAATTTTAACTTCTTTTCTTTACTGTTCTGCCTGCTCACCCTACCCTACCTGCTTTCCTTACACATAAGGTTCCTTCTAAACTCAAATATCTACAACAGTGCATGCCGGTGGAAACATACCATAGGGACGAGCTATTCAAAATAGAGAAGCCAATTTTCAGATGTCATGTATCACAAGCCGTAAGATTACTTTTACACACTGCTCAGAATTATCTTCTGGAGTCATTTTTCGCCCTCATGCAGCCAAACTTAGTTTGGGACGTATCATATGCCTTATTTTGTGCTACTTGATATGTTGATGACTAAATATTTCAAGGTGTAGTGATTCGGTATATTGTTACCAGCCCTAGTGATTACTCTGAAGTTCATATGTGACTTCTGATTATTTGTCATCATTAATATCATATCTACTTCATAAAAAACTAAAGGATTATATCATTGGTTTTTCATGAGTGAACTAATGATGACAACTGGAGTAACTTATGCATAGCCGAATTTTTGTTGAAATTCGTTTGACTGTCCGGTCAGGTTGTCAAACTTGGCTTAAACATCGGATATCTTTATAAATATAGGCGATCTTTAAATATAAATACTTATATTACAAGGATCTCGTCAGTCCATCCACAAAGAATGGAAAAAAAGTAAGGTTCTTTATAATAAACATCATTTTGTACCGAGTGTTTTGTAAGGTCCCATAAACAATCTATTACTCTTTATCTTGTAAATTCAGTATATTACTGTACATAAATGTCTTTTGATGGTAAGACTAACAAATTACTGCATAAATTCACTGATGGAAACGTCAGTTCTGTTAATAATCAATTTAGTTCACCGCAACCAGCAAAACAGTTTCGAAATACGGCATTTCGAAGCTGTGAATCATAAATAAGATATGTATATTTCACCCAAATAAAACTAATTTTTGGGAAATGTGCATTTTTCGACGGCATTACCGAGTTGGTCACTTATACAGATTTAACTGTTCATTAAAACCAAAACATTTTACCTCTTTTGTAAGTCTACGATCTGGGGTCGTGTCTTACTTATAGGACAATCCAACACTTCTAGCACACAGTGGGGTGCTTATTTTTGTTAGGTTTTACTTTAATATTTTTGTTTTCTAAAGTCACTGTGTCACTGCTTTACAGTCTATCATCTATTATAAGTAATTTGTATTGGGATTCATGTTTGTCACGCAATTGAGCTTTTGAATAATTGTTTATCGGAAAATCCCCCAAGTTTCTTCGTTTCTCCCTTATATTTTTCAGCGTTTCATTTACAAGACTCATTATTCTTTCAGTATTATTTGAGATGACCTCATCTGATGCCACAAAGTACGTGAATGATGTAAGTTTTGTTTTTCTTATCGAGTATTTTGGATTTTATTGTATTAAATCTTTTTTGGCTAACTCGTTTCATTCTCTAGCCAAAACTGCCCTAAAAAAGGACTGCGTTACATTTAATTTTGTAATGCATCCTATCAATCGACTTCCTTAGTTGATAACTTATTTGTCAGAAGTATTTCACAGGAAGTACTGAACATAATATAATTTCTATTAATTCAGCCGCAGTTATCGGCTTCATCTTTGTTCGTCTTAGGTTTGAAAAAAATATCGAAACGGCCAAACAACTCCATCTTATACCGTCACGTTGACAGACTTGCCATAGACACCCTTTGGATTCGGTCTTTACAAATATCTTAAGAAGAAAGAACGAATAAGGATGAAGCGAGTTATCAATAAAATAACTTTCCACGTTGGGTATGTTAATTAAAAACTTGTTACCCCTGATTACTTAGTAGGTGAGTATTCTAATCACCTCTGAATGCATACAACTAAAGTACATATTTTCAACGTCACATTTGTTATCTGTTAAACATGACTTTCACATTTCGATAGCTGTCTCCAAACAAATAACCAAATTATTTCAGTTTTATGTCCCGCCACAATTATCAAAAGATTTAAGCGGATTTTGTGCATTTGAGTTAGTACTGTCGTTAATCTTCGGTTGGTTTGTTAATTTCAGTTTTCAGTAATTAGCTACGTGACATCATATTTCATACCCTCTGTCTTTGATCCTATTACAACATTACTCATTACGTCAGTAATTTTGTGATTATTAGGAAGTGACCTGTGGCATAAATCCCCCATTTCTAGAAACCCGTACTCCTAAGCTGTTCATTTTTCTCCGTGTAGAATATTCACACTCTGAAGCCCTAAATAACCTGCTGTATGAACGATTCTCAAGTCTCCTATGTATATGGCTTTTTACTAATAGGCTTCGGCTTCACCAAAGCAAGAATTTTATGTAAACTTAAGTATGCATATCTTTTTTCATATAACTTGTACTGTAAGATGTAAGCAGGAAAAAAATCCACGAAATCAATAAATCCCCTGTTATTCCATTTCCTTTGTTGTTTTTATTTCAATAAAATTCATAATTAGGGGAAGTTGCATCCCAAATTACTCGTGCGCAACAAAAGTTACGGAAAAGGAACTATGATAAAATTTATTATGTATATTCACCAATTAAATTCAAGTCGTTATCCCCATATATTTCGAAATTATTAATTATTTGCGTGTAACCTTTCTCTCTTTGGCTTTAAATCGTGATCCATGCTTTATCAAAGGTAGTTAGAACATATGCTTTTCCTGGTTTGCTTCTCCTCTTTGTTTCCTTTATTGTCTGCTTGAGGCAGCGTATTTATAAAATATACAAATCCGAAATTGATTCTTGTAGTTGACTTATTCCTTTGTTTACTGATGCAAATTAATTTGATACTTTTATATGAGGGTTTGTGACATATTTTTCGTTAGCATTATTGTTCATTCAAAAGGGAGTCTGACCTTGGGCTACGAAAGTGGAGATCACCTTCGGGCTCACCAAAAGATTAAACTCATAGGTCTGTGCAAGAGTTTGAATAGCCCATGTATACTTGACAGCAGTAGTACATACTACAGCATAACTGATTGTTTGCTTCTAGGTCGATATTACCGGACATTTAAAATCATGTGTTAAAAGCTAGAGGATATAGAGGTGTTGATGACAGGAATATAGAGGGAGTGTAACAATCGTTGCACTATTCAGTTTGATTGTTTTAAATGTAAAGTCAAGTTAGTTTTTGGTTTTAGCAACTAAGTTGACTTTTACTAGATCAAAATTCGTATATAGTTTATAGATTGAGAATTAGAATCAGTATGGTTAGTCGAAAGCTTATTTTTGACTGAAAATTTTTTATTATCACCTACAAGAGTATCATAATGTCAATATTTTCATCAAACATAACTCCGGCTATCATGGTTAAAATACTAAGTAAGTACTTTGTCAACTTAAAATATTTACTGACTTTATCCTTTCATCACTGAATTTATTATTTCCATACAATTTAGCCAACTATTGAGCTACACTGGGCCGAACGTTGTTTCAGTCATGCAGAAGCCCATTTTCGCTTACTTTGTTCAATCTCTGATCCCTCACAATTAAGACTTACTGCTATAGATGATACCATATTCCACAAATATATGGAGGAGTTTAGTGACGTACAATTAAACGTTATTTTCGAAGATTCTCTGAAATCAGCGCAATCGAAAATAGTAAGTTTGTTATCAGTTAACATTAACTACGCATAAGCATGATCATTTTCATAGACATTCTTAAGTTAACTATTTGTTGAAACATGTGGTTACTAATTAGTCTAAAAACAAATATACCAGTATAACTGACTATCTAATTAGCGCCTATATACCATTTGTAAATGTAGCTTACTAGTCATACTGAACTTCTTACTTCCTAAAGA